CTTGCCAGGCTGGATCCAGCTACAGGACTTCCACACATGGGCTGTCAAACAGCAGGGACCACAAGGCCCCTGTCCCATCCAGAGTAGTGCTTTGCTCTTAACAGGAGTGACAGCTATCTAGTACACAGATGAAGCTTCCAAGCCACATTCTGCCAAAGGAACACCCACCCTCATGGAATACCATACATCATTCTGTTCCCTACAGAGAATTTCGATCTCACAGTCTCCCAAACAAGACACTGTTCCACACTGACAGTCTTCCACGTCTCATGGTGTCTCAACCTCATAGTCTTCCACATAGCACAATGTCCCAGCCTCATAGTCTTCCCCACAGCAAGGTGTTCCTCACTCATGTTCTTCCAAACAGCAAGGAGTTCCACCGTCATAGTCTTCCACACAGCATACTCTTCCACCCTATGATATTCTACACAGTACATTCTACCATATATCAAGGTGTCCCCCCCACAGTCTTCCACACAGCAGTTTTCCACCCCTACAGTTGCTACCTTCATAATCTTCCATACAATACAGATTTCCACATAGCAAGGTGTTCCACATAACACAGTAAGGCGTTCCTCCCACAACAGCATCTATACAGCATGTTCTTCCACCTTCACAGTCTTCTACAAAGCCAGGTGTTCAGCCCTCACAATCTTCCTCACAGAGGAAGATTCCACCATCTTCCACCCAGCCCAGTCTTTCACCCTTATGGTCTTCCATGTTCTGCACAGCACCACGTTCCACCCTCACGGTCTTTTATTCAAGTCACTACCAACAGGAAGAATTCTACCTTCACTGACTTCACACAGCAGAGTGCCCCATCCTCAAGGTCTTTTACACACCCTAGTCATCCACCTTCATGGTCTTCCCCACAGCAAGGTGTTCCACCTTCATGGTCTTTCACAGCAATGCCTTCCACCCTCTATGTCTTTCATACAGCAAGAAATTCTGCACTCATGGTCTTCCATATAGCCAAGTCCCCTAGGATCATGGTCTTCCAAACAGCAATGGGCCTACACTCACCATTTTCCACATAATGCAATCTTCCACCCTCATGGTCTTCCACACAGCATGATCTTCCACCCTGTAAGATGTTCCACCATCACAATCTTCCACAGTGAACGGTTTTCCACATAGCAAGTATTCCACCTTCATAACCTTCCACATACCAAAGTTTTTCACCCTCACAATATTCCACACAGCACGGTCTTCCACACACAAGGTTTTCCATGTAGCACATAATACAACCCTCTTGATTTTCCACACAGCATTGTCTTTCACCCTCATGGTTTTCCACACACCAGTCCATTCCACCCTCACAGTGTTCCATACAGCAAGCTTTTCCACCCTCGCAGTCTCCCGCACAGCACAGACTTCCAACCCCACAGACTTCCAACCCCACAGTCTTCCACAAACCAAGGTGTTCCACTCTCAAGGTCTTTCACACTGCACCTTGTTCTACCCTCACAGTCTACCACATACCAAGTCCTTGCGCATGGCATGGTGTTTCAACTTCACAATGTTGCACACAAGTCACTCCAAACAACATAGTGTTCCACTCTTACTTCTATTTTTTCACTTTTTATTTATCAATTGAAAAGTATACAAATATTTTTAAATATAAAAAATATAAGGTAAATGTAGATTAAATAGAAAATTATGCAGATACACTAGTCTAGCATTAACTCAACCAAACATGCTGAAACTTTATTAATTTGACACAATTTGACTTGTACTTCAAACAAGAATTGCAGTGATCACATAATGATATAAAAGGCAGTTCTCTACCAAGAACTAACAGATCTTAATACATATTTCACTGAACAAAACACAACTATGTAAGACAAAAATATGAAACTGAAGAGAAAAATCATAGATCTACAAATATTACTGAAAATTTCAAAACACCTCCCTCAATAATTCACGGCTAATGAAGGTAGAAAAATCTGAAATGGAGTAGTTAAAATCAGCAACATCATGCCTCAAGTCTCACTGACTTCTACACAGCTAGGTGTTTCATCCTTGTAGTCTGCCACATAGCAAGGTGTTCTTCCCTTACTATCTTCCACACAGCAACTTGCACCACACTCCTGATATTTCACACAGCATGACATTCCACCCTCAGTATCTTCCACACAGCAAGGTGTTCAATCCTCTTGACTACACACAGCACACTCTTCCACAGAGCAAGGTATTCTACCTCACAGTCTTCCACACCATAAGGTGTTTCCACCATCATGGTCTTAAATACAGCAAAGTGCTCCACCCTCATGGTCTTCCACACAGCAAGAGATTTCACACTCCCCAAAATTCACACAGCATGGGATTCTACCTTCACAGCCTTCCACTCAGCAAGGTATTTAGCTCTTATTGTCTCCCACAAGTACCATATTCCTCCCTCATGGTCGTCCACACAGCACACTGTTCCATCTTCGTGGTGTTTTTTTTAGACAGGTTCTCGTTATGCAGTTCAAGCTGGCCTTGAACTCACAGCAATCCTCCTGTTTTAGCCTCCTGAGTGCTGGGACTATAGGCATGTGCCACCATGCCCAGCCCACCCTCTTGGACTTCCATAAAGCACGCTGTTCCACCACATGGTCTTCCACCCAGCAAGGTCTTTCACCCTCACTTTCTTCCACAGCAAGGTGTTTCATCCTCATGATCTTCCACACAGTAGTCTTCTGCCCTCAGGGTTTTTCATACAGCAGTTTGTTCCACCCTCACAGTATTATACCCCACTATACAGCTGTCCAAGGAGTTCACTGTCTCACCCATCTCCTAGATTTTGGTGAACTGGCCTTTGAACACTACTGTAGCTCCATCTGTGTGGCAAGACTATGGGGCTGGGTTCACACCTCAGGCATGGCAGGTGGTCTTAAACACTGTTGAATCTATGTCTTTCCCAAGGTCAGGATTCCCACATCCAGGGATCAGGCACCAGAAACGGCAATGTTTTCTTGAATGTCATTATCCGTAACAATCTGCTAGTGAATTTTTTGCTTCCTATTCCTGTAATCCTATACTCCTCATCAACTCATCCTGGTTTGCCAGGAAATTTTCCAGCCTTAAAGCTAAAAGTTGCATGTGCTGTAATCCAGGCAGTCCTTTGCAAACCCTAGAGTATTCCACCCGAGTGCACAGCACATGGACGGTGAGACCCAGCCACTGGCTCTCACACCAGCAGTGCAACAGAGATGCCTTGGTGCTAAGGCACTTGTTCCTATCTGACAGGCTTTATCACAGAATGAAATGAGGAAGCAGCATTCAAAAGGAGGGTTCCTGAGGGGGTCTCCTCACACCCCTAAATTCTACAGGAAATGACTACAGAAAACCAGACCACTCCACAGACAAACCTGCTGCAGCACAGACCCTAGAATGAAGGCTGGGGTAACCCCACAGGCAAAGAACCGTGGTTATGGCAGTGCTGGCTGAGGGCCAAGGAGCAGCGTGCTTCGTGGAAGAGGGCAGCGGTAAATGCAGTTGCAGCACTTGTGACTTGTGACTACCTAACAGTGAGTGCCTCTCCCTCACCCTCCTATGCTAACCAATTCTTTTTCTTCCTTTTTCCCTCTCCTATTCCCCTACCACCTGATGTAAAATGTCCATGATGGCTAGTATGTATTTCCGTGCTTGTGTTATCTGACTCCCACACTCTCAAGGAAAGAGACTCAGCTACAAGAGTATCGCCCAAAGGTGGGTAAAAGTGACTTGAGACCCATTTCTGGAGAGACCCTGGTGTTGGTTGGGAGCTTTTGTTATTCAGCTGTTCAATGTGGTTTAAAAACAAGTACGCGTGAGAGTTGCCAGAAAAGGACCCTGTGAAGTTGTTCTATTGTCCATGTGGCCAGGCAGGAACCCTTCCATCTGTGGTTGGAGCCAGACAGACCTGGTGATCAGCACTCTCTGAAAGGCTGACCCCGCCTACTGTAGCAGCAGGCAGAACAAGGACAGAACTGTGACAGCCCAGGACAGAGAGCATCACCATTCATCAGAGCCAGGGCCACCCTTCAGTCCCCACTGGGATGCACTGACTCCAGGGTGCAGAGCCTGGGTGACTGCCGACCAGTGCTAGACACAGCACCTCACATCCCTGTCCTGTCGCCAGAGGCTGACACGTGGAGAGAAGCCTGCCCATGTGCTGGGCCCACGGTCAGGACCTGGGGAAGGGCTAGCCTCAAGGTGGGGCAGTCACAGGCATGTGGATAGACATGGGGGCAGGCGGGAGGACAGCAGGCTGGCAGCTGGGCAAAGGGTGAAGTGGGCATCGCTGTGGCCAGCTGAGGGCAAGTCACGTCCACCACCACCTCTCCGGACACGTGCCCAAGAGCGGCAGGTCGTAGCAGAGTCACAGCAGTGCGAGGGGAGATGAGGCCTCTTGCCCACCCGTCCACCTCAGGGCTCGCCCCTTGGCCCAAGCCTTGCGCCAGAGCGCTCTGCTGCCCCAGCCGCCCGACCCTGGACCTCCACGGACATTCCAGGCACTGCTAGCGCCCTCCCGGGGGTCCTCGGCTCCGCTTGCACTGAGCTCCCCAGCCCCCACCCTTCACCCCTCCAACCCAACCGTGCCCCCAGCGCACGCGCCCTTCTTTCCCGCATTCTTTCTGACCTCGCAGTGCCCAGATCTCCCCAGACCTCAGGCTAGCCTCCCTCTGCCCTCTGCGGGGCTCCCCATCCCTGTCCCCCAGACTCCTGGTCCCGGGTCCCCACGCGGGGGGCCCAGGTGGATGCGCGTCGGGGGGCGGGGTCTCCGCGCGCCCCGCCCTCGCCCCCCATTGGCCCCGCGCGCGCCGGCCCTGCCCGATTGGCCGCGCGGCCGCGTCCCGGCGCC